TGAAAATTTGGGTAAAGATTATTTTGGCTAAAAATGGGATAATAATGATAAAATGATTTCGTGTAGGGATATTTTCATAAGTCGCCGTAAGTTGAGTGTTACAGTATAACAGTATAACGCCGTATCACTGATAGATATTGGTTACAGAAATGATTTGAATACGGGAGTCTTAGAGTTGACTTATTATTGACGTATAGCATCCTCAACACTTGTGAGCATCCCCTTAAACACCTACTTATGCTCAGTCCCACCACAAGCCTTAGGGGTAACACCCAGAATTCGGAGACACAACACACCAGAACGGACCGAAGACAAACCTTCTACTTCTTAAGAGCAGTAAAATTCTGGAAATCGCCACTGACTGAGCCAGTCTGAGCGACCTCACAAGAGTCTTTTGAGACAAAACTTGACATATTCTTAAGGACCAAGGACAGTATCTAACTATGAGTTACTGATTTTTTTCTTTTTTCCCTGTTACTGTTAATATACGTAGGTTCTTACTTCGAGATATCGGTGATCTCCTGCCACCAGCTACGGAAGCCCGTTAATCGAAAGCTTCTTTTATTCCGTCCAGAACTAGACAAACAAGAGCGCGCAACGAAAAAAGGGATAAGGATGTCGAGAGATCTACCATCGATAGAGCATGCATTAGCACTTATGATGACATGTTGAAACTCAGGACCATCATTACGTCGACGGTTTTCGACTCCCTCAGTAAATTCGGGTCTCCCGGCCCAGGGTTCTTGAATGCAACAGTGGTTCCCAAAAATTCCGTAGATGATTGGATCCACGTCAATAGAGCTAAAAAGAACCAGGCGTCACCGCCTAAGCTGAACATCCTAAGTGTTGTACGAAAGTCAACTGGTGATTTGGTTGCACAGTCTACTCCCAAGAATGTCCGTTCGGTCATCAAAGAGCCTAGGAATCAGAAAGGTGTTTCGACCTCCAAATAACAAGGCGCTGGACCTGAACGCACCGGAAAACCTGAGAAAACAATGACGTTTCGTGATGACTACCACATAATCATGAACCTCAGAAACAACCCTAGCCTTCCTTTCAGTCCACAGGACAAAAATGACAGGATGCTCTGGGGTGAATTGAACAAGAAACTTAAACTTCCTAGAACAGAGCCTTTGACAGTCACACGACTCACTCGGAGAAAGGGATCTAAGCATCGAAATCGCCCGAGGCTACTTCGTGTAATACCTAAGAATGCTACCGACTTAGAGGATGTCCTGCTGGCTAGTCATTTACTGAAATCCTATGGGAACGTAAGAATACTGTCCGACATACCGTATTCTGAGCGCAATCTCATCCGGAACCTCCCCAAAGAATCTCGCGAGAAGTCTTCCCGCGGAAGAAATATAATTGTGCAAGGTGTACTGGAAAACACGGACCCTAGTCAAGCAAACTCTGATATTAGAGAATGGAAATTCATCAAACAGTCCTTGAGGCTCAGAAACATAGTGACTGAACATGCGACGAGTCTGGAGAAGAAGGACGGTGATTCTAGACCCCGGCTAATAAGGATAACTTTCCCATCCTCCCATATGGTGGCTGCAACTCTGGAAGCATTTCGTACCAACAGACTTCGGTTGCCGACTGGAATCCACATGCACACGGACAGGCCACATGAAGCCGGGACCAAGCACAAGGGCTCACACAGACAAACAGGAAGAAGCTCATGCGTTTCAAATTGAAAGCATAAACTGCTTATACATGGACTCTGCGAGTCCACCAAACAAATTGAATGAACTACGTGAACTTAGCAATGCTAATGAGGCCCATCTGATAGGAATATCTGAATCCTGGATATCTTCTCAGTTCTCGGACCAGGAGTTAGCAATACCTGGTATGTCCTTGTCTCGTAAAGACAGAAAAACAGGAGTTGGTGGTGTAGTAGCCATATAAATACGATCCTGCTTGGAGGCAAACCAAGTTCATAACCTCGAGTTTAACAATCCTGAGGAATCAATATGGTGCTCTGTAAGATTGTCTACTACTCCGAGGTGCCTAGCCGGGGTCATATATAGGAAGCCAAATGCCGAGATCGAGTATTACAGGAGGGACTGGAGGGACTATCCCACTCTACGCGTCTCGGTTTCACTCATATCCCGATTCTAGGGGACTTCAATCTCCCTAGAGTCAGTTTCGCAGAACATACGTATATTGGGGGTGAAAACTCAACTGAAGCTCGGTTCTTCAATCTCCTTGAAGATTTGGGACTACACGAAAATGTGAAGTCGGCAACTCGTCGGAGAAACAGTCAGACAACGTCGCGCTTAGACTGTGTATTTACAAACGAAGAATTGCTGGTTGAAAACCTCTCAATCCTGGCTACCCTGGGGAAAAGCGATCACGCCGTTATAGCCTTTAGTTTCGTCAGTAAAACTGGGGTAAGAGATCTCACCAACAACAGGCGCTGGAATTTCAAACGGTTGAATGTGTCAGCTTTACAGGACTATCTACAACAGGTGGATTGAGATTTTCAGCCTCAACTTGATGTGGGTGCTCATTGGGACTTCTTACTGCACACGCTCTTATGTGCTACAAAGCAGCCAGTTCCTCAAACGGTCCCCAATAGCTACAAGCAACCTACAATCATCAAGAACTGCACTATTTGCCTGCTAAGTCGCAAAAGGTACTGTTGGGCAGAGTACAAACGAACTGACAACAACAGCGCGTACAGGCAATACAATCATATAAGGACCATATGCACGAAGGCTGTAGGAGTAGACAGGCTTCACTACGAGACAAAGCTTATGGGTAACTTTGTCTCCAATCCGAAAAGCTTATTCCGTTATACAGCCTCTCTTCGTCAAGCCAAAACGTGAGTTTCCCAGCTGCCAGGTCCTAATGGCCCGACCAATAACGACAGCGACGCCGCTAACCTTTTGGCTGAACAATACTCTCGGACATTTCAACCGGCCCACATCAACTATGCTGATGATAGCTTCATCTGCAACTGCACAGGTTTATCCGTAGTAAACCTGAGCTCTGACTTGGTGTTCCGGAAACTCAAGCACCTAAGAAAAGACACCTTTCCTGGCCCAGATATGATTCATTCTGCTATACTGAAGGAAGCAGCTTCAATCCTGGCAACATCACCTAGCGTGATGTTCTAACACTTGCTGAGTCAAGGTAAACTCCAGCTCTTTCTGAAGTTTAAATTACATCATACATAACTGACTGATTTCAATTAATATATTCTTTATTACCACTTATCTATTTTCATGAGCTCTAATCACTACCTCAATGTTCCGGAACTTTCCCTCCCAAACTTTATTTATTCGAGACAAGATTTTATGACCTCATTAACTCTATCGGAATCTTCGCTACACCATGATACATTTATTCATCTTTAATCACCCTCTTATGTATAATTATGTCAATATCTGTAATAATGTTGGATTTCAAATATTTTAGGTTGTAAGCAGCTGATGAGAACCTAAGGAAATAAAATGAATTCATATTAATCTGTACCAATATTTGTTCTTGCTCTCTTTAAGATATTAAAGGGAACTATGTGTAGGAAATTTGGAAGCTTGTTCACAACACACCAATTTTCAGTGGAGGCCGATGCAGCGAACCTTCAAGTTACCGACCGGTGGCTCTTCTCTCTATCCCTGATATGCAATGGTATACCCGACTATTTACTGTCCTTGACTTTCTTCTCACCCCAGCAGCATGATTTCAGGAAGGGTGACTCTTGTATAACCAACCTGCTGACTGCGGTGGACAGATGGATAAGTGTCCTCGATCGCAAGGGGAAGGTTGATATCATTTGCCTTGATTTCTCGAAAGCTTTTGATAGGTTTAACCATATATGTCCTATAAATAAGCTCAAACGATTGGGTGTCAGACCACCTCTAATCGATTGGCTCATTTCATATCTGAAAAATCGACATTTTAAGGTCAGGGTCAACTTTACTTTATCTCAGGCTATGCAATGTCCTAGTGAGGTCCCCAAAGGCTCAGTAATGGGACCTCTTCTCTTCTTGATTTATATAGATGATCTTCCTCAACAGGCAACGTCAGACTTATTACTCTTTGCTGATGACGTGAAACGTTGGAGAGAGATACGCAACCAAGACGATATACAGGCACTTCAGGAGGATGTGACTCGACTTCAAAGTTGGGCAGACGATAACGAACTTACCTTTAACACTTCAAAGTGTAAAGTAGTCCATCTGTGACATGTCGCTGACTGTGGTTACAACATAGAGGACTCCCCTGTAATAGCATCGCGAGTCGAAAAAGATTTAGGAGTCCTAGTGCCCCACGATTTAAAGTCGTACGCTAACTGTGACGAAAATGCCTTTCGAGAAAACCTTGCACTGGTAACATTGAAGCTCATTTTTGGCCAGTTTGACGGAAAAACTTTTCATATAGTTTTCAACAGTTTTATCCGTCCCTATAGTATTTCCTCACTCACTCCAAAAGGGTAAGGAAATTCTGGGGCGTATCCAACGGCGAGCCACGAAGTAAGTTCGGGGACTCAAATTTAAACTTTATGAGGAGCGTCTCCAATCACCTAAGCTTTACCCATCAAAGTATAGGCGTCTTAGAGGTGACCTTCTGATGGCTTACAGTATCCTTAACACTTCTGGACATCCTCTTAAATACCTACTTAAGCTTAGTCCCGATACCAAACTACGTGGTTACACCCAGTAATTGGAGACATAACAAAGCAGAAAGGACTGTAGACACAACTTCTACTCATTAAGAGTTGTCAAATGCTGGAATTTGCCGCCGGCGGAGCTAGTCCAAGCGACTTCACAGGAGTCCTTTAAGAGGCAACTTGATCTATTCTTAAGGTCTAAGGATAGTATCATATGATTTACCAATTTCTTTTCACTCTTTTATCGTTAACATACCTTGGTTCCTGCCTGAAGTTATTCGTGGTCCCCTGCTACTAGACACGGAAGCCTGTTAAGCGAAAGCTTCTATTCCGTCCACAACCATCTGAACCATTTGAACAATCTGAACTACTTGAACCATTTTGAACGTGGACGGTACTTTTTAGAATGACAGACTATTTCAATTTGCTTCCCTCTGAAATATCAGGACTTGTCCTCGGTTAGCAACATTTTTAAGAGTTTATTTCGTAGGATTTTTGCGAGATAGCAATTGCGTTATCGCTGCTGGTGCTTTCCTTCGAGAAAACGTCCACTTATCTGAATTTCGTTATCACTATGCATCAGTGAATGAGATACCTTTGTATTTCAGAGAATTAACTTTGCTGGATATTATTCATGACTATATTCATATTGTGAATGAAGGTAAGCCAACGTTTTGTGTGGTCGACAATGATGGTGTTTATTCATTAACTTGAATTCTAATTAATGTAGGGTAAGAGGTGTGACAGCTCTAAGGTTGTCATAACCCAACAGATTTCAGACAAAGTGTGTCAGCATGTATATTCGTTCATGCCACCTTTTTTCTGGTTATTTTGACAGGTAGATTAAAATCGTAAGTATTCTCTTGTTAAAGTTGTCGGAAGGTCCTACTGCTGCTCTAATGTTACCTTTTTTAATTACAATGTTTCTTAGCATAAAAAGTAAGTCCGAAAAGGCAGTGGCGCGTGTAATAATAACTCCACAAGCCTGCAAGTTGAGTGCTAATTTGAGCTTTGTAGAGAAAGGAATGCAGATTTGAGTTGAGGCAAACACTGTAGTCGTGATTATTCTTGAGTACATTTGATGCCCCTGAGTTCGACCAGAGTCATTTACATTAAACTACTGATGAGGACTGCAAGTAATACCTTAGCCAATAAAGCCAATAAGGTGCCGCCTTACTGTTCTCTAGTATATTGACGCTGTAGCGGGTTTTACTACACCAGAACTTAAGCTTCTCTAAACAGTCATTTACGTTACTGGGTTTCCATAACTCTCTAACGTCTCTGGCTACTCAAGTAGTGTTTCAGGATATGAACTACATTTTGTGCAATTAGTAAAAATACTAGTTAAATTTACTAGCCTATATCTCTTTCTTCGGTTTAAATTAGCTATTTAATAGATCGAATCCGAGTGCCAAAATTATTCTATCATGTTATTAAAATGAAGATTTGTATACTGAGATATCTAGAAGTTCTACCTTAATTTAATCAAGGAAAATATTCTGTGATTAGTTCACTGAAAAGTTTATAAAATCTGGTTAAATAGAGTATTTTCGTGAATAAGTAACATCATTAGGCTTTGTTTATTCGTATAAAAGGGATCATTCACATCCATCCAATCTTTTTTTAACCAACAGATATTGTCGTTCACCCCCTCAATACATATGTAGTTCAGAATGTGACAAACTAACCTTTATGGTACACATTTACGTAAAATCAGTTTACTCTCTAATGAAAACATCAATGTATTTTACTTCTCACATGCATATTACACCTTACGTTTCAGTTATCCCTCATTTAAAAAAGGCCAATCTTCCATGGCAACTGGGGAATCTAAATGCTTCCATAGCACAATTTTTGCAGTCATTTCCTGAAACTTGTTCATCAAATTTACGACCGAAATCATTTCGTCCTATTCATCCTGTTTGGATGCCCTTAGGAAAATCCTATGTACCGCCTAAAATAATACCTGCTGGTAAATCCACTACAGTTCGACCTCCGCTTGCTACCGTGAAACCAAATGTAACAATAGCTTCATTACCTAATATAATAAGTGAGTACTTTAAATCATCACCATATTCTATGTATTGATGCTGTGGATCACTTATATTTTGAAACTAATCTCTATAGATCATTAGATGTTCGATGGATCTATGCACTTTTTGGTGACACTAGGTTCTTGATTATGAGCCATTTACATTATTATTACTATTATTAACCGAGTCATATCCTGTATTAACAGCATGCTTTAGAATGTGATCCGAATATGAGATCTCGCTTAATAAAAACGTAGTGACTGGACGATGAATAACTGTGAATTGGTTCATACTGTCCAGGTGCACCATTTTTGTTTTTTGGAGAGTCTGTCGTTTTTCAATCTCAACAACAACTGTTCAATACCAGATAATATACACTTTGAGATGGATCATTAGACCAAAATAAAGCTATTATTTGATGTGACAGGTTTCTTTTGCAACAGTTGTGCGGAGTGTAAATGAATTATACATCATGTGAACCTGAAATTGTAATGCGACACGCTTAAGTGAGTTCCGTTTTTTTGAAAAATGTAACTTAAAACTATAGCAGTATCGCCACCGACTTCTATTTCGACCCATATCTTATGACTTCTCAAGCCACTGAGTTGTACCATCTCTAGTACTTCAACTGGGTATTCGTGATGGACTCTCTGATGTCAGTCTTACACATTTTTCTTTTACGAACCAGCGGTGTCATAAACTGATCATCTCGTCTTCCCATCCAGTCCCGGGGTAGGTGAATGATACACGATGTGAAAGTCACTTGAACAACATTCACAAAATATATTTGAGCAACCAAAGGTAGTTTTTCAGGGTGGTCATAGTAGTAATAATCAAGTCATAAAAGGGTAGAAATTTCTGATTATTCTCATGTTTTTTTAGTTCATCCCTCATCGTTACTCTGATTTTCAGGTTCGAATTCAACCAGTGGGATAGGTGCTGGTACTGTATGTTCACTAGACAATAATTCAACTGGTTCAAGAGCCAGTCGACCAGTGTTACGAATATACAGACAACCATTAGCAGCTAACAAAACAAATGTATTCAATTTTGATATGTGTAGCAGTAGCTTCCCAAATCCCTCATCTCATCAAGCATCACAGTCTAACATAGTTGCGTCAAAATCTAATGCTAATCCTATGCAATCTATGGTTCGCTTACAAAACAAAACAAAACGTGTATCAGAGACATTACCTACTACTACTACTGTTACTAGTAACGGTAATAGTGATGTTCTATCCCTGTCAACATCTTGTAATTCTGTAATATTTCATCAATCGCCTATATCTATAACAACATCATCAGAAGGAACGATGAATGATGCCACTGTTCAATCTATAGGTGTGATCAACCAAAACGAAAATATTACTTCACAACAAATATGTCTTAATGCTCAGTCAAATGATATAAGCGATCATCAACAGATTTCTGATAATAGTTCCATATTTTCGGTGTTTTCATTGCTACCTCCGCCGGCATCATCAGAGACGTTAGTTACAGATATGGTGATTTATCCTGTAATAACATGTGAAGATAATCTGAATGATGCAAAAAGTACTGATCTTGTTTCAACTAGGCGAAAACGGTAAGATAAGCCAATGTTTACTCGTCTTGAGTAAAAGGTGGTAATTCACACCTATATGTATAAAAAAGTATTAGTATAGAGGTTTGTGTAGATTATTGAATTTCTATAGTTTACCTGAATAACTGATCTTAATTAGGTTTTAGCCTTTGAAATTGCACACGGAAATACCCTTATCTTCTTGGTCACAATGCGCTCTGATTTTGGTTTACTGCAGAATCGGATTTAATAAAAATATACTATACTAATGACCTGAGCATCTTATCAGTTGATCAGAAAACATTGCTTAGTTATAAAACAGTTAATTATAAAAAGCAGTAAAATTACAGTGGAATAATGGTTTTGGTACAAATAATTAACCCATACTTGTTGAATTATATATTATGCCAAAGGAAAAAGGGTTAAGTTTACATACTATGAATTGGGGTTCATAACCCCATGGGGTTTTCGTCACCCATTGACGTCTACTATAATGCACGGTTTGGCTTATGTAGTAGGAATTAAGAGTTAGGAGTTAGGATCACAAATTAAGGTTAGTGTTTTCGTCACTAACTGATATCAGCTGTTACGCAATGAGGCTTTACAACCCTTTTGTTTACATAATGTTGATATTCAGGGTCAGGAGTTAGGGTGGAAGAATACTATACAGTTACATAAACCCCCTTAGTTGCGCATTGATTCGCATCAAGTGCTTGACCATAGAATCTGCATCGGTAATAGATATTTCCGATAATTTATCTTAAACACAATGTTATATTCATTGTTTATTTGGGTGGTAGATATTTTTTATAATCGATTCCAAGCATTTTAGGTACCATGTATTTCTGAATTCCGCTTAGTTAGTAATAACATACAAGCTATCTTCCACTGAGCTTTTAATTTCGCGTGAAAATCCATGATACTCCATCTTGGTTCGGATTGGTTCAATCAGGGCCGTCAGCAAAGTGTACTTTTATCTTTAATTTTCCAAGGGATTTTATTTTTAGAAGACTCCTGTGGATATTTTGGTGAGACTATAATTTATGGACGGCCTTTGAGCAATGCTAAAGTGATCTTGTGAATATTCAACTGTGTTGGGGTCATGAGATTATTATAAACCAGTTTGAAAAATTAAGGTTTTAGAGTCAAAAGTTAGGGTTATAAATTACAGTTTAAGTCTTCATCACAAGCTGATATCAACTATATAAATATTAAAATTCTATTTAACCATATGGATAAATTAATTTAGCGTCAAAATCCAGGACTTGGTTTCTTAAATCTGATTGGTTCGTTCAAAAATTGTAGTCCTACTGACATTTCTTCCAGATATTATAATTTTATATATTTCTGTAAATATTTATGTTTCTTCATTATACAGAAACCAACCACCACGTCAGTTATCACCTGGATCTGGCGTCGGAAGTACAATATTTAGTTTAACTAACAGTTATGAAGAAGAATTAGATATGGAGGTGAGTTACTGGTTTAAAATGGGAGTTGTAATGATTATTTGGAGGCGAGTTGTAGCTCAGTGGTTAAGGTGTTCAGCTTTCAACATTAATTTCTAGGTTTGTACTTCGTTCCAACTACTTCGGTTTGGGCAACTAAGTGGTAGTATCACTAGTATTCACACTTCGAGTGTAACTTGAAGTCATGAATACTAGTTTGTAAAACTGGCAAATAAGTTGAACAAATAATGGTGCTTTGAATGAAATTCATGTTATACAACTGGTTTTGAATTTGTTTGGCTTTTTCTTAATGCATACACTAATATTTGCCTCCACCTATTATCCCGCGTTGGGGAGTATGGGTGGCCCACCAAGATTCTCCATTGAACTCTGCTTTGAGCAATGCTCTCCACTTCTTTCCAGTTACTATTCATCATTTTCATATCTGTTTCCAATTGCCGTCTCAATGTGTTCCTTGGTCTTCCTCTTTTCCGTTTCCATTCAGAATCCCAAGTTAGCACTTGCATTTGATGCAGTTTGATGATTTCCGCACTGTATATCCTATCCACCTCCATCGTATTTCCCTAATTTTCTATTCAGCTGGAAGCTGGTTCGTTCTCTCTCACAGAAGATTGTTGTTGATGGTATCAGGCCAACAGACATTGAGTTTCTCATATAGACAATTGTTTATAAATACTTGTACTATTTTGATGATGGTTGTGGTGGTTCTTTAATTTTCAGCTCCGTACCGTAGAACTGTCTTGACATTTGTATTGAAGATTATAACTTTGATGTTGGCTTGCAGACAGTTGTTTTGAGTTGTATATGTTCTTCAACTGTAGTAATGCTTTTCTTGTTTGCCAATCCTTGGATTTACGTCTGCATCGGATCCTCCTTTTTCACCGATGATGCTGCGCAGGTACGTCAAAATTTCGACCTCTGCCAGAGCTTCTCCATCAAGCATATGCGAGCTGTTCTCCATGCACGACTTAGCAGTATAGTCCGCTGTATGAATTCCGTATTGTGTTGACGACTTCCTGAGGTACACCATAGTGTAGAAGGTTCTCGAAGGTCCCCGCTTTACTCACTGTCAGACGCTTTCTCATAGTCGAGGAAGTTGATATATTGTAACTAGTTCCATCCAATTGATCGCTATTTGGTCTATGCACGACCGATCCTTATGGAATCTTTGAGTAAACCTTGTAAGGCTCGGAATGTGTTGTTGAGAGCTATCTTTAAATAATTGAGTTTGCCAGTATCTCGAAGGAAGACTGAGTCGAAGCTTAGTAATGGTGTTTGTCTAGTCATCTAGTGCTTCTTTATCTTCAGTCTCATCTTTGTAACCACCAGGTGGTGATGTGAAGCTATGTCAGCTCTTTGTTCTCACGTCTTCCACTGACCTAAACATTTTAGTGACCGGTCGTCCCTGTCTCCCACATTGTGGTGACATTCCATGTATCTACGATAATTGTTGCTGTGGTTGTTATAAGGGTAATCGGTCTCATGACTTTCAACGAATCTCGGCTTTCATCATGAAGCGTTATAATTCTCTTGAATAAAGATCCTTCAACTCATAGGGAAGGATTTAAAAATGGTTTATTTTGGCTAACGTTCTTTTAGCAAGGTTGTTTTCTACTGGATGAGGTTGCTGACCCCATGCCCAAACCTCCTTTCCCTCGGGCTTGGGACCGGCTGTAATACTTGAAGAGCTGTCGGTGGTGTTCACTTGCATATACACACTAGTTCACAATTCCACATACCAACTTAAGAAATTTTTAGAAACATCAGTAACATATATATATATATATAGAGAGAGAGAGAGAGAAGGGACAGTATTCACCGGTAAAATGTCAGTCGATCAGTCATAATGTAAAACCTGGTTCAGTCTAACAATTAATGACTTCCTGAATTGATGCCACTTTTTAGTTTGGTCGTTCGTACCTTTATTCCAAATTACCCCTTCACTAGTCTACATCTTTCATCGAGTTAGGCTGTGATTATACATATGCAACACTTTATTCGATGAAAATATACAACCTCATCAATCGATCTCTCATCTTCATCAAATACCTTATGCATAACTCCAACATTCCTTATTTAGTCGTGCCGTGAAATAGAAGCTATACTTTAAAGACAAGTATGATAAAAAAATCTGAAACCCACATATATCCACTTCCATAAGTTATGTTTCACAATTACACAAAGAAACACAGCTCACTGCTGCATAACGTTGGGTGACACTGATAATTCTTCTACATCATAAATCTCACAAATTGACATAAGCCAATTAATCATTCTTTATCTGTGTCAAAATCTTCTAAACTAGTTTTCAAATTTTTATGTTTTTTGTCGGTTTTATTCGGCATTAGTATCATTTTTTTCCCCCAAAGTATATAACCTTACTACTTTCACACATTAATTTTTCTATTGTAATTCATTATTTCATTGTAGCGTTTCTTATCTGCATTGTTTAATAATGCTGAACAAGTAGCTACACGCATTAATGCTGAAGTTGGCATTTTAACACGTAATCCATTATCATATAATGATAATGATAATCGTTGTAATTGGCCTGAAACTGCTAATACTTATGAGATTGTTTCTATTCATCCATCTAATAATAATGACAATAGTAAAATAGTGAATTGTTCATTGGATAATAGTCAATCTCAACCACTCACAACAAATATTTCTTCATCATCATCATTATCATCTACCGGTGTAAAATTATCCACATCATTTGTTTGTCAAGATTTTAATTCAGATACTTCAGATAATATGCAATTATGGAGTGATTGGTTTGGTGTAAGTGTGAAATTATCTTTATTTCTTACTTTAAACTTTAATATTTTCTCCATCTCTCATTATTCACTTATTTACTTACTTACGCCTGTTACTCCTCGTGGAGGAGTGTAGGCCGCCGACCAGCACTCTCCACCTGTAGCTCTTCTAGAGTTACTGCCGGTCCCGAACCCGGGTAAAGGAGGAGAGTCGGGCATGGAGTTAGCGACCTCATCCCGTAGAAAACTAACTCGCTAAAAAAAACACTAAAACGCTGATCAGAAAAAAATCTCATTATATTATAGTAATTTTAATCTGTATAGCAAAATTAAGTGAATTCATAAAGTATTCCAATTGTTCAGTTGACTATAGTTTAGAATATACCTAATTGATATTACAATTTATTTTTATAATCAATCTTTTATTCCTTGTTCTATGACCAAACATTTGTCTCATCTTTATTATTCCAAATATTTATTCTTCAACTGATTTGTCCCAATATTGTTCAAATCTCAGTCCTCTGTATATTAGTTTTGCATTTTTGGGAATAGATTGAAATCTCAGAGATTCTGCTTGGTGAATAGTAGGGTAGAGGGTGTTTTAGTATGATCAAATTACGAGTCAGAGATTTATAGACAATTATTTACTGAATGAACGCGTTTATTAATTATACTTAGAAGGAAATCACAACTTTCATTGATGAATAATATTTGATTAAATACAGAGCAATAAGAACAAATTGACTCAGGCTGGTAACTTTTCAAATAACACATGATGGATATCTTCTTATTTAAATAGTTATTTTCTTAAATACGATGTTAGTAGTTCAGTTCGTGCATTAGAAGTGATTAATGCATATACTTTTCAAACTGAGATGGATATTTCAATCACATTGGTCGTCATTTAACGTCGGGAAATGTCCAACACTAGATAGTTCTTTAGCTCTAGTATGGGACTCTGTGTTGCTCACTCACGATCCGACCGCTGGGGATCCAAGCCAGGATTGTTAGGTGTTGTTGAAAGTACTCAGTCTTTAGACGCATGATGTTGACTGTAAAATAGAAACTTCACAGACTCCTTACTCTAATACTAATTTTGTGCCAAGTAGTGACAAGTTTCGTGAAGTTATTCCCAAAGTTATAGTGAGAATCCATGACCAGTGAAGTTCAGCTTTGTTAGATTTGAGCCATTTGCTTACCAATGGGATTGGGAGATGGTTGCGCAATATCACGGATTCGTTGAAACTAGAAATAAAAAACTGTCGGACATCGACTCAGTAGTTATAATTGTTAAGTTTTCGCTACGAGATCTGATGGTCGTGTGTAGTCACTGCTGAGGAGTCTTATATTAGAGCGAATTAGCTGTATAGCGTTTCCTAATCTTTAATGGTTGTCTAGTTAAGGTTAGTTAGTGATCAAAACGGTAAAATTGTCTCTTAATCTTTGCATCGTTTAAACTTGATCGTATCTAATGCTCACATTTGTTTGAATGTACAATGCACGATTTCGTAAAGGGATTATAAGTAGATTGTTTAGGATTTGTTTTAAATAATGTCGTTTTCTAGAACATATTTTATTTATGTCTATTTCATACTGTTTAACTCCTACATTTAGTTCTCTTTTTATTATCTAGATGAGAGCAAGAACAAAGAATTGAGCAGAATAACATGAATTCATTTTATTTAGTTAAATTCTCATATCAACAATTCATAAACTATGATATTCCTAGTTGAAAATTATCGTCAACTTTACGTGCTTCTAACAGTAAAATAGGGTATGTATCATCATGGTAGCGTAATACAATCGCGGACATCCGTTAGGTGTTGTAAATTAGTACAATTAGTGAGATAGGATTCTGGATGATTATGTAGTGAATGAAGTAGCGCTGTATACATTAATTGCAATCAGAATTAAGATGATTTGAGATCAGTCAGTTAAGAACGAAATTGTGAATTTGAAAGAAGTGATTTAATCAAAAAGAAGAGGGAAGAAATTGCAAGAATGAGATAGTAGAGTGAGGATAAATTGACCATAGTAAGTGAAAATTTTCAACTGTTTCCGTTCGGATTTATAAGTCTGACTGAAAAGGCCTGACAAATATTGGGTTGGGCGAATTTGAGAAGAATGGAATTTGGATTCATGTTATTCTGTTCAATTATTTGTTTAACTGATGTTAATTAACCACAACACTCCTACTACTCAAAAGTAGCTACTGGTTTATAATTTCAGTCATTACATTATTCATAACTAATCAATCTCCAATCATTTGTTTATTCATTTGAAACATATATAGATAAAGGGTGATTTAGACACATGTATTGATCATTTGTTATCAGATCTTGAATCTATCGACGTTTTCACGTCCACAGTCGATACCACAACTGTCTCTAATACTACTTCAACTGTGAGTTCTACGATTCCCAACCAAAATGTTAATAATACAACAATAATTGAAGCACTAATCGATATTGATCAATGTTCGCATCAATCGTCTGTTATAACAACATCATCAAATGATATTATTACCTCAGGTCCTAGCAATGTATCTCACGAATTGATATCGTCTCCTTCCTCATCATTATCAGACTGTGTTATTAATGTCACCGTCAATGATAAAACACTAGCAATGTCTATTACTTCAGCGACAATAACGAGTACTTCTGACTTATTTCATCCTAATTCACCAATATTATCTACACTATTATGTGACAATACTGGGAACAATAGTAACAATGATAATGTTAATAATAATAATGATAATAATGAGTCATTTATTATTTCTAGCATACCTGATACTAACTTGATGATGAAGACTTCTATAATTTCTACTCCTGTTACAATTACTACTTCTACGGTTACTAATCAACATCTTGTTCATAATGTCTGTAAGCGATTGATTACATCATTACCGTCATCATCTTCATCACCATTTTGTTTCAGTCAGTTGGTTAATAATAATTCACAAAATTTTCCAAGTAAACGTCAATGTCTACGTCATTCTGATAATGTAAATAATATTAATAATAGTACTATGAATATTAATACTAATAATAATTTACCACCAATTTTAATTACACCGGATTCAAAGAAAAATCATGTCAATGAACATAATGATAAATTATTGTATGAAAATTTGCCAAGCTGTAAATTGTTTAAAGGTACACTATTTGTATTAGGGTTTGTATTTAATTTTTCAATGATTGTATTTCCTTATGAATCAAATGATAATATTTCAGTCAATCAGTCAGGGCTAGGTAACATAGAGTTTGGTATATAAATGTGTGTCGATCGAAGTTGTTACTGCACCACAACATCTGTACAGCTAAATTATTTATTTAAACACATAGACAGTAATATAAAGAGGCACTAAATATATATAGGCCAAATTTCGTCATTCGATTTGTGTGAGGACTGGAATATTGTCCAAACCGAAGCAGGTGGTCTTATTAGGGAGCCAGTACTCCCCGAACCTTTGACCTAAAGGTCTAATCCACAAGACAATGGAGCAGCGTTAGGAGATGCAGTCCGATGGCATCCGGTGACCAACGATTGGTTCATACGCCAATTGTTCCTTTAGGATACTGGAGCCCATGTGAACCATTGATCTGGAATCAGGGTTTTCCAACTCCCCTAGATGGATCCTCCATATCCATCAACCAGGTTAAAGCTCCGAACGTTCGCTTTCCGTCCTCCCAATTTCATAAACAACACTGGTGCCGCCGCAAGAAGGCAGTGAGTAGGACTTCCCTGACAGTGGTTGTACGCATATGGCCATGTGAGAGCATTTCAAAAGGGAGGGCTGACTCTCCTCTTTCTCGGCCGTACCAGCGCATCAGTTACACATTTAACCACCACTAATGACCTTGAGTTGACGTAACAATGTTCCTGTTGGTTGGTTATTCTCAAGCCCCTCTATGCTCTGTGTTGAGTTCCAAAGTCAATGGTATTTATATTTCAAACAAATGTGGTTAAGACACAGAAATACGGGACTGCATTACACTACTAAATGAAACATAGCAACTATATGTAAATAAGCCAAAAGTGGGTGTGATTAGGGGAAACTCTAATTCAAAATAGCAAGTCATTTAACCGTAGTTTATAGGTGAACCGAAAGCTTATGATAAACGGAATATATATATATATATATATATATATATATATATATATATATATATATATATATATATATATATATATATACTCAGTAATTATACAACGAAATGATAGTTAATAATAATTCAAAACCGATTCCAATTTACAACATTCGTTTCGTCATGACAATTAACCCGATTCTTCATCAGTCAGTCAGTCAGTAACAACGTAGAACTTCGTACGTACGTACATCAGTTCGAGTTGCCACACCACATTAGCACAGAGATGCAGTTGTCGATTCAAATCCCGTAGTGGTAGAGGTAATAAGAGTATAAGCAGTGATCGGGAAGATAAGGGTTTGGAGATGTTATTTAAAGAGTATAATCCAGTGAAATAAATTTGGAAAGAGGAAAAAAAGAGACATCAAGAATTCAAAAGATTAGAATTTGGGAGAGCACAGAGAGTGGATGCACCTGCGCCATTGCAAACGATTTTGAGCCATGTCATTCAGGGTCTCTAACCATCGGTTGCTGTCATCTCGCGGTCCCCAACCAGGTAGTCTACACCTATCAACATGACTCAGTTCACTTGTCAGTGACTTCATGGACTTGTGCCATGTTTTGGTTTGGCCGCCCCTAGCTTTCTTCCAACCTACTCCTATACCACTGAACATAGGACGTCGAGGCAGTCGGTCGTTGGGCATACGTAACACGTGTCCCAGCCATCTCAACTGATGAAGTTTCACTACTTCATCAATTGATTTGCCATCCTTACCTAGTACCCGTTTCCTAACAACTGTGTTACTTACTCGATGGTTCCATGATATACGAGCAATGTTTCGAAGACACCTATGATCAAATACTAGTAACCTACGATTCTTCATATCACATCAACTTGACAATAAGCGATAACTGACATGAATAGAGTCGAGATATTAACAGTAACAGTAATAATGAGAAGACAGAATATTGAGATAATATTTTTCAAAAGGACAGAATAAGTTGTAAATACATGAATTTGAATTAATTAATTCAGATAAACAATAGGTTTCTAAGATAATTTAAATCAAACTTATGCAGTGAAAATATTTAACCAGAGAAAATGGTACCAACCAACTATTTCATTCAGTCACAAATTTGAGTGTATAATCCATGACGTGTGTTTCATTCTGTTTGGAACTTCGTTTACTGAATTAATCTGCATTTAATTGTTGATGTTTACTCTGGTATGTGTATACAATCTGGAACGTGTTACATAATTCCATATGAAGGCAATCCTCTTGGGATGGAAACATGCCATCAGTGACCAGTGATCATTTGAACTCATGAATTTTAACTACTGATATTCAGTTCCAGTTAGTCGAAGTTATTTTTTACTTGTTGATAATCACTAGACATACATAGCGAAAGTGGATGTGAGTGGGAAAAGGTTTAAGTAATGGATTGGCAATAAATTCGAAATAGCCAGTCATATAGCTGCTACATAGATCAATTTCGTTATTGTTGAAGGAGTCCCAAAAACATCCCGCGTCGAAGTTCCTAGAGAAGCAGAAACGTTGGGGAATATTTTATCCCATCGGCGTTGGGTAGAATCTTCGCAGAAACATTTGGGAAATGAGGAATCATGTGTCACAGTTTCGATTAGGTATTTACTTACGCTGCTACTATATTTAGCATGGTTCCAGGAACTTCTGGGGGCTCAAAGCCGTATATAACTTTATAAATACTCTTGTTTTTCTGCACATCAACCAACTTTGAAGTAAAGATCTTACTTGCAATTCCCGCTTTCTCTCTATTGTTCCAGTTGACATGTAGAAATAGTTGGGAATATCGGAACCGAGTAGTAGGAAGACGGTTAATAGATATCGATGGTAGCAAGATTTGTCAATTATATTACTCAGGGTTGTAGTATCATGTATCAAACTTTCGTTTGTATAATCACATCGTTATTATATTACTTAAAATTGCCTTTTTTTTATTCTAACTTAAGTTCATTTGTTAACTTTTTTTTTCAATAACTCAAAAGGAAATACTAATAAAGATTCATTTCAACATCATTCAAATGATCATCATCTTCAGTCCACTTATCTATTATCATCACCTTCTTGTTATTATTCTATTCCACAGAATTCAAATGCTCAAACTGTAATTAGTAGTGCTACGAATACATGTATGACAGCTTATCTATTAAATAATCCTTTATCAATTATTGATTTACGTCAAATTGCACAGAATAATAATAATACTGGTATAACTATCACTAATGAGAATAATTACAATAATCCAATTACTTTTTATACAACAAATAACAATCATAAATTATTATCATCAACAATTGAGAATCATGTTAATTATGTAGATTTAAATAATAATTCCTTGATAAATTTGATACCTGTCAGTTATAATTCAAATTTAACACCATTTATTATGAATAATACATTAATTAATACAACATTATCCACAATAACAATGACTACCGACAGCAATATGACTTCGAAAGCTTTTGTTAACCTTCCTTGTAATACTGTTAGTACATGTACTACTACTACTACTACTAGTAATAATAATAATAATAATAATAATAATAATAATAACAACACAGGATCGACTACTGATGTTGTCACTGCTGCAGTTATCACTACTGGTATAAGTGGTGATTATATACAAACTATCAAAGTTGGTGATAATAATAGTAATAGGTGTTATTCAAAGAGTTCATTGTTAATTGATGCAAAAGAAAATCATCCACCAACACCGGCACTTATTGTTCAAGTAAGTTGACGATGTTATTCTCTTCTTCTCATATGTATATCTCTCTATTGTGATTTTTAAATTAATGTCGGATGACTGAGCTTGGGACTGTATGCTTGGATGATGATAACGTATTGGTCTCTATAATGGTTAGGTATTTGCCCTAAGATCTGAATGTCCTGTGTTCGATTTCTAACTGGCCTTTGGGTGGACATTGTTAAGAAGTCTCAAACTAGAATCGAAGTAGTTATGGAGTATCCCCTGTGTTTTGAATGCTCTTTCAAAGTGAGATCCATTTGTGACGGATATATAGTCTAGAAAAGGAAATACCATTTCTTTGAAAATGGTAGTAGATATGTAATTTAGTAAACAGGATCAGCTAGCATGAGACGTAGGTGTTGAACTTCTATTCCATAACCTTCCATCGTCCAACGGCGAGACTATAATTTATGGACGAACCAATCAGGTATAAGATAACAGGTCTCGGATTTTGGCGCGAAATTCACCCATCTATTTGGCTTGGCTAAATAGAGTTTCGTGATGAAAACCCTAAATCTCATTCCTAACCTTAACCATCAATTGTAAATCATAATTCTAATTCCTCATACAGATTCATAACCCTCATTTGGTCCTAGTTATTAGGTGAAGACTCTCAAGGTCACTTTAGTGCCGCTCAAAGGTCGTCCATAAATTATAGTCTCACGTATGTGTGTACTGATAGTGATCAATTGTTTTCCAATCCATTAATTTTACTTAACTTCACCATATTTTTTCTCAATACATGTTGAATGATAAGATTATCGTAATGAAATTGTGCCTTTTTTTGAGGAATAATTTTATCATCAGACATTGTTATAACATGTTTAGTTATCTAATTAATTACGATTTTGCCAATGATACACTGTAAACGTCTATAAATTAAGTTGTGCCGAGTGTGATACTTTTTCGTATAGTGGATTTATTTCGTGAGATTTTGTGTCATTTCAAAGAACATCTAAGCTACATAAAAGGATCTTATCAAAATCTTATGGAATTTGAGAATTAACTAATCAAATGAACCAAATCTTCAACAAATCATTAGATCTACATGGAAAATATCAGAATAATTCTCCCACTTGGGAGAATCTTAGACGTTATTGGTTCGTGGTATCTCTTAGTACCCTTCCCAAGGACAGTCTTATGCTGTATATATATGTTTGATTTGTGCCTGTTGTTATCGCTCGTGCTTCTGGCTACTTGCGGAATATATTTCCCCGTTCGAACTTGGACTTCTCTCTCTATTTAGCGGTACTGGGACGCATCAGAATAGCTAGATTATTGGTCTTTGGTCACAGAGCCTTTGTTCCGTTCTCAGATTAGGTGAACTCGTAATCGCTTCAAACATAGCAGTTTCAAATAGATCGGCGAACTATCAGTATAGAGTTCTGGAGATTGTTGAGTTTTAATTGAGACTATTAACCGATCAATGTTAAATCACCACCGAATGCCCTGGTACGGCCGAGAGTGGGGAGAGTCCGCTCTCCCTCTCGAAATGCTCTCACACGCGTATATAGCCTCTGCCAGGGAAGTCGTACTCACTTCCTTCTCGTGGCGGAGGTGTTGTTTGCGAAAATGAGAGGACGAAAAGCGAATGTCCGGCGCTTTACCCGAATCCCGAACCAATGGTGCACATGGGCTCCAGTATCCTGCTGGGACAAATGGCGTATGAACCAATCGTTGGTCACCTGCTTCCTTGGGACTGCATCTCCTTACGACGCTCCACTGCCTTGTGGATTAAACCTTCAGGCCGAAGGCTCGGGGGGTGGCCCCCTAAGGAGAACACCTGTTTTGATTTGGGCACCCGGGCAGTATCACAGCCTCCACACATATCGAATGAGATTTGTGTGGCGCATATGTATTTGGTGCCTCTTTGTACCAATATCTATGTGTTAAAATAAATAAAACATTAAAAAATCACCGTTGAAAACTTCTGAGCACTAGGCGACCTTTTCGTTCAACAATACGCATTCAAAATCTTGCATGCGGGATTCGAACCCGGGATGTACAGTCCCGTGCACACGAACCTTTAGACCACAACCATGTAAGATACATAAATGGATGACTAACATAACCACAACGCACTAACAATTAGAAAAATACAATCATGTCCAAACTGGCCATTAGGGTAGCGAAACAAAGTACCAAATTACATTAGCTCTGGAACAGAAAAGGGTATGGCAATGAATCATACATCAAACGAAAGTTTATGGTTTGTAAAATAATGTAGGAATGAGACTGAATGTTAGTATTTCGCAAACTTTAAGTTAAGTGAAATAATGTCCTCCAAAATAGCTTCCGTTGTTTGTCATGACATTTTTGTTTCTATGTTCACATTAAAATTGTAAAGCCATGTGTGTAACATTAGAACTTTAATTTTTCCACTTATAGAAATTTTTCCGAATTATGATTTGAGAAAAATTGAGATTTTTCTATACACTTATTTATCATTGAGACTGTTACTACTTATAGTAGTAAGTTTAAGAAGTTGATCATTTTTTATCATAACTTGTAATATTGCTCTAAATTACTATTTCATTCAAATACTATGTTTTCCTATGTATTTAATTGTAGCGTGGTGTACGAAAGAAGGTAAGTATTACAAGTTCGAATTGGATTGTTATATGAATTTGTTGTTATTTTATTTTTAATTATTATTCTAAACAATTTACTGAGGGAATTCTCGGAGTTCTAGTGAGAAATCGTGACCAGTGGAGCTAATCCGTGTCGGGTAGAGACAGGTATCTACCTCAGTACAATGAGAGATGGTCGCGAAATTTCGTTGATTAGTTGATCTTAGACACTAATACCGTTGGATGCCGGCTCAGTGGCCCCCGAATGCCCTGGTATGGCCGAGAGCGGGGTGGGTTCACCCTCCCTCTCGAAATACTCTCACACGGCCGCGCGTATACAGCCTCTGCCAGGGAAGTCATACTCACTGCCTTCTCATGGCAGGGGTGTTGTTTGCGAAAATGAGAGGACGAAAAGCGAATGTCCGGCGCTTTAACCGGATCACAAACCAATGGTGCACATGGGCTCCAGTATCCTGCGGGAACAAATGGCGTTTGAACCGATTTTCGGTCACCGGCTACCATGGGACTGCATCTCCTTACGATGCTCCACTATCTTGTGGATTAGACCTTTAGGTCGAAGGCTCGGGGTGTGGCCCCCTAATAAAACCACCTTCTTCGGTCTGGGCACCCGGGCAGTAATACAGCCCACACGTAATTAATGAACTGAACTGTCTATGATCATGGAAACTAATTCTCTTGCTTCGACGAACATTCAAATGGTTCTATTATTATTATTATTATTATTATTATTGTTATTATTATTATTATTATTATTATTATTATTATTATTATTATTATTATTATTTACTACGTCATTATTCACCCTCTTTTATTCCTACTCTGTCTATACTTATTTTTTTCGACTTATACAGCAGCTCGCCTATGGTGGAAATTCAACTGTATCTAAACGTTCTCGAGTCACTGTCCGGTTGAAAATTGTATGTTACCACCGAATATGAGTACTGAAGCAGTCTTTCTGAAACGACGTGCACCATTCAAACTGGCTGCCTTCAACGTTCGCACATTTATGCAGGTCGGACAACAGATAGGGCTGGCTATGTCTTTAGAAAGTCTTAATATTGATGTTTGTTGTCTGTCCGAGACCCGTATTCAAGACTCCGGCGAAGTACTACAAATTCGATCTCCATCTGTCGCTTCAAAAAGCTTGTTTTACGTGCGCTTATCCGGGGACCCTGTGGCATCTTCGTCTGGTCTTGCAGGCGTTGGTGTCGCACTAATCGATTGGATCCCCATTAACAGTCGGTTATGTGCTGTTAGATTAGAGAGTTCCATCAAAGTGAGAAGAAATCGGGGTGAGAAACGATGTCTTTTCGTCATCTCCGCCTATGCCCCGACAGATTGCAGCCCGGATGCAATCAAGGATGAGTTTTACCACCAGTTATCTGTTCTTCTCCAGAAAGTGCGTTCGACAGATATTGTAGTACTAGTCGGAGACTTAAATGCTCAGGTCGGGCGTCTAGGCACAGAAGAGAGTCGTTTAGGTGGCCGATGGGGACTTGTTGGTCGCAGGACAGATAATGGGGACCGTCTACTGCAACTGTGCACAGACCACAACCTGTTTCTGGCTAGCACTAACTTCCGGCACATTCATCGCCGATGTGCCACCTGGCGTCCTCCCTCTGCATCTCAAGCCTGGATTCAGATTGGTCACATCGCGATCAGCTACCGTTGGCGTGGTTGTGTACAAGACTGCCGCTTCTTTTTGTAGTACCTATCTGTACTCTGATCATTCCTTGGTCTGCGCCAATCTTACCTTACTTTTCAGTGGCCAACGAAGTGACCGCCACCAACAGATTGATGTTAGCAAGCTGGTTGCAACTTCTGTTGCTAGTAAGTATCGAACCGAGCTAGTTTCTAGGCTAGCTACCATTCCACCGAAAAGTGTAGATGAGCATTGGTTGCAATTGCATGACGCCAAGAAAATGGTGAGTAAAGCCGCTTACAGCCTCGCGAAACGTCCCACTTATAAGCACTGGGTTTCTGCAGGTTCCTTACAACTCATCGAAGCCCGTCGGTCTACTCCGGGTGACCGTGAGTTTAACCACAAATGAAGGATGTTACGTAATGAAATTGGGCAAAGCTTGGGAAAGGACCGAGAAGCCTGGTGGTCGAAGCGTGTCAATGAGTTGAAAGAGGCAGCTGCATCTGGTAACTACTGGAAGCTCTTCCAACTCATCCGAGCCACTGGCAGCAAGAAGTCTGGTGTGAGCGAAACAATCTGAGAGGATGACGGGATGCCAATCACTAACATCCATCGACGTCTTGGACGATGGGCAGAATTTCTCGAAGGCCAGTTCAATTGGCCTTCTGCTCCGGCAACATCGGTCAGACTGTCCTGCCCTCCATGGCCGGTGACGATTGATCCACCAAATGAGGCGGAAGTCCGCAAGGAACTCCAACTCTTGAAGCACTACAAATCACCTGACTCAGATGACTTAACTCCGGCTCTTTTTAAAGATGTTGGTGACATTCTGACTAAGGAATTGATGAAGTTGTTAACAAAGGTTTGGGGACTAGAGAGTGTACCAATGTCATGGAATGAGTCGATAGTTGTCCCTATCTTTAAAAAGGGTTCACGTCGTTCCTGTAACAACTATCGGGGGATAAGTCTACTCCCGATTGCGTCCAAGCTATTGGCTTCCGTCATACTTCGTAGGTTGTTAAAAACCCGAGAAAGATTGACTCGCGAGGAGCAGGCTGGGTTTCGTTCTGGTCGAGGATGTATTGATCATATCTTCGCCGTATGCTAAGTATTAGAACACCGTCATACTTATCAAAGACCAACAATCGTAGTGTTTCTTGACATTAGGGCTGCCTTCGATTCGTTGGATAGGACTGTTCTCTGGGATTGTCTATTGGAAAAGGGTGTGCCTGAGAAGTTTATTGACATCCTAAAAGCCCTACATACAAACACCTCAGGCAGAGTGAAGGCATTGTTCCGTTCAAGCAGTGGGGTTAGACAGGGTTGCCCAATCTCACCATTCCTCTTCAACTTTGCCATCGATGACGTTCTGGAAACAGCTCTGATGAATGTAAGTAATGGTGGTGTGGATCTGTTGCCTGGAGAAAGACTTCTCGACCTTGAGTATGCGGACGATATTGTCTTACTGTGCGATAATGCCCAAGGCATGCAATCCGCACTTAATCACTTGGCAATCAGTGTCCGTAAGTATGGTATGTGCTTTGCACTTTCGAAGTGCAAAGTACTTCTACAAGACTGGCAGGATTCTAATCCTGTACTCACCCTGGATGGTGAGCAGATAGACGTAGTTGAGAAGTTCGTGTATCTGGGTAGCATCATAAGTGCTGGTGGGGGTGTGAGTGATGAGATCAATGCACGAATAGTGAAAGCCAGAGCGGCTTATGCCAATCTGGGCCACCTTTGGCGCCTTCGTGATGTTAGTCTGGCTGTAAAAGGTCGGATCTACAACGCGTCGGTGAGAGCAGTTTTGCTCTATGCTTGTGAAACCTGGCCTCTCCGAGTTGAGAACGTTAGACGACTCTCTGTGTTCGATCATCGCTGTCTCCGAAGGATCGCTGACATCCAGTGGCGAAATCATGTTAGTAATGCAGAGGTTCGGCATCGTGTGCTTGGGCACAGAGATGATAATTCAATTGGTGTTACCATCTTGAAACACCGACTTCGGTGGCTTCGACGTGTTCTACGAATGTCGTCCCAGAGAATTTCACGTCGTGCATTATTTGCCGACTCTGTGACTGGTTGGAGAAAGCGGAGAGGTGGTCAGTGCATGACATGGTGTCGTGGTATGAAAGAAAGCTGCAAAGGACTGGCTTGTGTTGGTCCTTCACGACTCCCTGGTTGGGGTCTGAGATATGGTGCAACACAGTGGCTAGAGACGTTATCAGATATGGCTCAGAATAGAAGCCAGTGGCGATCCTGCTGTAATCTTCTTTAACATTCTTCATAAAAAGTGGTTGTGTCTCCCTTACCTGAAAGATTTCTTCTGATGGTACCTTTCTGTTCCCCTACTATTACTATTATTATTATTATTATTATTATTATTATTATTATTATTATTATTATTATTATTATTATTATTATTATTATTATTATTACACTACCTTACACCAATCTCTTCGTTATTGTTTAAAAAAAATTTTTTTTACGTTCCTCACTTTTTTTCTTCAATTCTAATTGTTTTGTGTGGCGCACTCCTGTACCAATATGTATGTGTTCAAATAAATAAACAAATACAGTGGTTCAGTAGGTTAAGTGTTCACGCGCGAGACTAAAGGTCCTGGGTACAATCCCGCGCACCACTGAGGAGTCCCACAATAGGACGAAACGACCGTCCAGTGCTTCCAGGTTTTCAACGGTGGTTTCACATCAATCGGTTCATGACCTCTCAATCAAAAAATTTACTATCAGTAGAAATAGTAGTGGTTATTACTATGGTTAATCATGTTAAGAAAACTCTCCATATGATTTATATTGTATGCTCAATGAAACCCTTACTTTGAAGCATGATATTGTATATCATAACGATAGGTTGGATAAATCATTACATAGTATCAATCTAAGAAATCACGAACCGCTGATCAAAGCCAACTTATTTAGAGTGTCCACTGAAATAATTATAACTAATCGTTGTAAAAGATTATTAGAATTTATTTGAACATTGTTAATATCCTGTCATGTAGTTCACTCATGATGAGGCAACTAGCGTAAGTAATTTTGTCATGAAAAATAGTTTTGTTCTTTGATTGAACCACCAAAAGTAACCGTCCATCAAGATATTCGACAGTATGTTGTATGTTTGTAATTAGACAAGTGAAATCAGCCTTTAAAATATGTATCTAGAATAATTTTGAAGTATCCGAGTCATTCATTTGCCATGAACGTGGGACTTGATACACAAATATGCATCGACTTAAATTACCACATCAGTAAGAGTAACGACGAATATCGAGAGAGTCAGAGTAAACAGTATTAACAATCAGAACAAAAATAATTGAACAGAAAGAATATGGTTCTAATGGATTGAATGAATTCCTAGAATAAAATGTATGAAATAGTATCGAGACTGCGAACTCAAAAGGAAATTAATACATAAATTCATATACACTATTGGGATTGATTTTCATCTGTACCAGTCAGCATCTTCAACCACTGATTGTAACTGTTACACTGATAATAACCAGCTAGTCTGCACTTAACAACACTGCTCAGACTAGGAGTCAATGAATTTGTGTACTGACTTCACCTTCTGATATGGTCTATCATAGCTTGGAACCTACTACGCTAGTCACTACTGTACTTCATAAATGATCAGTCGCTTGACTTAGGTTAATGCATGTTTCAGTCACATCAGTTTATGAAGATTCATAGTCCCATTTGCCAATTTGCCATTTTTAAAAATCTCTCATATTCACTTACTCAGTTGCTCTACCATATATGTGTAATGCTTCAAAGACATTTATGATCACGAATTAGTAACTTGAATTAGTTAATTTGACTGAAATTTACTTTGTTTATATGTGTGGATCTTCCAATCAATACTCACAAATAATCACTCTAAAAGGAATATAGCACATATAATTTAGATCTCGTAGTAAATGCATAGTATTTAGATCATTGAGTTCCAGTTCAGTTACACGCGATTCAGTTCCATACCATGATAAAAAGCATGTCATAAAAACAATGGGAAGTAGAGAAAATATAATTAAAGATAAACAAATTTATAGACAGTCTGTAAACTTCTCTGCAGCTTATTGCTATTGTATATAATAGTTAATAACAATTCTTGAATCTAAGCAAAGATGGATAATGGCTAGCAGTGGAATTCAGGACGCGCGTTTCGTCCTGTATGGGACTCGTCAGCTGGATGTACCTGCATCTCAGAGTTGATGTTCACTCCGGGACTCGAACTCAGTACCGTTCGCTTCAAACGCCATCGCGTTATCCACTTAGCTAATGAGCCCTGATAGCCACTTGCTTGTGCAATGGGGTGAAGTTTAATTCACTTGGTATTGTTTTACTTGAATCTTCCCATTGATGTTTTAGGACACATATGCCAATAAAATACTGATCAATTTCAGTCCTGAAACATCAATGGGAAGATTCAAGTAAAACAATACCAAGTGAATTAATTCTTGAATATGTCTATTCAATCTGTTAATTTAAATTACTTCTGTTCACAGCTAAACATTATTGACCCTATTCATACAAAAACAAACATATATAATTGAAATCTTTCATTAATTTAGGGATTTGTAAATATTGTTAGATTTCATAGTTCACATCACGAGACGATGTTATTTAAATAACTGTTAATTAGGAAGAAATGCTGGTTATTTTTTTGTCTTACTATGAACTAGTGGGATTCAGCTATGTCAGTTGTAAGGCAGTCTCCCTCCAATAATGATATTAGAAGATAGTTGGGCAATGCTGAAAATTAATTTGAATTAACACATGGTTACCATCTCAATGGTCAACATTTTAAGCTCTTGTCACGATACCAGATAGCTGTAGGGTTGATTACGATAGTATAGTCGTTGGTAACTAATGAAGTCTTCTTTATTACAACAGAACAGCTTTTCAGTGTGTCCTGGCTCTCAGTGTTTGTCCAACTAAGATCATTCATTGTAGTAAACTAAAATCATCTTTCACTACTAATACTAATTTACACCTTTTTTATTTTCGAAATCCTTAATAGATTTTAAATTTGCAATCATTGGACATTGAAAAAATAATATCTCAGTCTCACTAATTAAAACGCATCACAACCTCTCGAAGGAATCAATCTCTCCTAGGCACAGATGCCTTCATAAACAACCTTGGGTTTCTTATTGAATGTAGCTGGTAAAATCCAATCATATCAATTAATCCTACTAATTCAATAATAATGATAATGAATTGCTTTCGTATGGTTTATTCAAAGAACAACGCACTCACATATAGATATTGTCATCATAATATTATGTAACAGTATCAGTAGTATTTGTGTAAACATACAATCTGATTTGCATTCCAAAACATGCATTTATTTTTTTTATATTTATCAATTTGTTATTTCCAAAGTTTTTTTTTCATATGTAATTTATTATTCTTATTCGTCTTCTTACTGTTATTATTATTATTATTATTATTATTGCATTAAAGTATTTATTAGCGATTTCTATGTGGCCATTATTTCATCATTATAGATGTCACGGTAAGGTCGTGACTAGGAAGAGTCAGGTCTCCTTCTCGAAATACTCTCACACAGTCACGCATATACAGCCACTTTCAAGGAAGTCCTACTTACTGCCTTCTCGAAGTGTGTGTGTTGTTTGTATCCGGCGCTTGACCCGGGTTGTTGGATATGGAGGGTCCATCTAGGGGAGTTGGAAAACCCTGATTCCAGATCAATGGTTCACATGGGCTATAGTATCCTGAAGGGACGATTGGCGTATGAACCAATCGTTGGTCATCTGCTGCCATCGGACTGCATCTCCTAACGTTGCTCCACTGCCTTGTGGATTAGACTTTTAGGTCAAAGGTTCGGGGAGTAGTGGCTCCCTGATAAGACCACCTGCTTCTCTTTGGGCACCCGGACAACGTTCCAATCCTCACACAAATCGAATGACGAAGTTTGGCCTATATATATTCAGTGCCTCTTTATATCGATGTCTATGTGTCCAAATAAATGAATAACCTGGAAACTGACATGACAATGAGATATCAATAAAAAACTATAACGGGTTGTAAATCTGTACTGAATTGGTTCACTTGTAGTACGGAAATGATGAGTAACTGCGGTCGTAGTTAATCAGTTGAAATTTGTCAATCAAAAAATTTCTATCAATAGGTAATGAGTTTTGAGTAAAAGGCCATATTTATAGACTATTGAAAAAAATTGCATCACACTAAACATTTCATCAGTAGATATTTGTCACATTTTTAATTTCATTGTTTAAAACATTTCTGAAATTCTTTAGAAGTTAGGTTCTTCAACTGTGCATCTACATATCGTCTAAGCGTCATTTCCGCTAGTTTATTTTACATTTTAGGAACAGAATGAAATAATAGAGGTTGTATCTGGTTGGTAGTGGAGAGGGTGTTCTGGTATGATCATCAAATTACAAGACTGATAAGCTTAGACTATCACTAAATCGTTTAGTTGCATGCGAGCTGCTCATGGTATTCCATGCTTTGCCTAATATGTAGAGGTCTTCATAATCCATTCAACCACCAGGCGAATGAGAATTGGTAAGTCGCCAGCCTTGTCTGACAGCGGTCCTCATTCAGAATGCATCTGTGAGTTGTTTTCCATGAACGACCTTGTGGTGTAGTCCGTCATATGAATTCCGTATTATGTTGACGACTTTCAAAGGTACACCATAGTGTAGAAGGTTCCATAAGGTCTCCCTTCACTCACTGTCAAATGCTTTCTCATAGTCAAGGAAATTGATTGTTCAACGACGATTTGTAGTGTCGCTATTCGGTCTATGCACGACTGGTCCTTACGGAATCCAGCCTGTTGATCTTGAAGTTGGGCGTCTGCTGAATCTTTCATCTGGTTAGGTAACACTGTTGAAAACGTTTCGTAGTACTGATAATTGTGTGATGCCTCTGTAGTTGAGTTTTCACATTTGCTCATATCTTCTTTCTTTGGTGCCTTGATGAGGTATCCTTCTTTTCTGTAGGTCCAGTGTGGCTGACATATTCAAGAGTTCTTCAGAGTGTTCTACCCACCTGTCCCATCGATCTTGAGTCTCAATGACGGCCCACCCTTTCTATCTCTCGCACCCTATCCTTCCATCCAAACCTCTCGCTTCCTTTCCCTTGTTCTCATTCTATGCTCACTACATACATACATCTTCAACCATTTCAACTCAGGTGTACTGAATCAGTCAGTCAGTTGTACAGTAACTCTGCGAATTAACTGCCAATGATTCTCCACTGCGCATCGTTTCACTCTTTTTTTCGCTTCCTTCGCTATGTCTGATTATCTGTTCCGATGAACGATTGTACAAAATATATATATTGGGAAATCCATTCTCTTATATGAATTATTTAATTCTGTTATTCACTAACGCGATCTAAGTCGATAATTATGTACGAGGATTGACGATATGTATATCTCATTAGCAATCAGAAATAATCTCATTGAGTCAGATCCCGAGCCACTAAAGTGATATAGAAGTTTCAACAATTGTTGGATAGATATAAAATTTTTAGTGCATCGAAAGAACAGCGTATTCAGAACATTTATAGGCCAGTCATGAATACAGTTAAGAATGCGGAATACACCGGGAGTTGTAAATGTACTGTTGAAGGCTGTGTGTGCGTAATATGTAAATACTTCGTAACTTCTCGTAATAAATATTACATAACTCTTCCCTATTGTTGTATTATACAGTTTATGTAAGAGAAAACTGTCATTTTGATTTATTATTTCCACATGTAAACTCAACACCAGCCTGCTGTGGGAGAGAACAAACCACCTTTCAGCTGAATAGGAAATTAAGAAAAGACAATGGAAATGGATAGGACATACTTACTTACGCCTGTTACTCCTGATGGAGCACAGGCCGCCGACCAACATTCTCCAACTCACTCTGTCCTGGACTCTCCTTTCTAGTTCCATCCAATTCTTGTTCATTTTTCTCATGTCTATCTCCATTTCTCGACCTAATGTGTTCTTTCGTCTTCCACTCCTCCTCCTTTGGCCTTGAGGATTCCAAATGACGGCTTGCCTCGTGACGCAGTTCAGCGCTTACCTCAATGTCTGTCATATCTACCTCCAGCGCTTCTTCCTGATTTCTTCCTCCATTGGGATTTGGTTTGTTCTCCTCAAAGTAGGTTATTGCTGATAGTGTCTGGTGAACGGGTGCGAAGTATTTTGCATAGACAACTGTTAATAAACTTTTGTATCTTCTAGAAGATGGCTTACGTAGTTCTCCAGATTTCCGCCTCATACAGTAGAACTGTCTTGATATTCGTATTGAAAATTCTGACCTTGGTGTTGGTTGACAGTTGTTTTGATTTCCAGATGTCCTTCAGTTGTATATACACTGCTCTTGCTTTACCGATCCGTGCCTTCATATCTGCATCAGATCCACCGTGTTCATCAATGATGCTGCCCAAATATGTAAAGGTCTTTATATTCTCTACAGCTTCTCTGTCAAGTTTGATTCAATTGGTGCATGCTGTGTTGTATCGGAGAATCTTGCTTTTCCTTTTTGTGCATGTTGAGACCTGATGCTGCTGAGACTGCTGCTACACTGGTCATCTTCTCTTGCATTTGTTGTTGCATGTGCGATAGAAGAGTCAGATCATCTGCGAAGTCTAGATTGTCCAGTTGCATCTTAGATACATACATTACGGAAATCACCAAACTGCATCACGAGAGAAGCCCTAACATGTAATCCTGAAGGGAAGCGGAAACTAGGAAGGCCAAAGATGACATTACTTCGGTAAATAGAAGCAGATATGAAAAGAATGAATAATAACTGGAACGAACTGGAGAGGATTGCCCAGGACAGGATTAGATGGAGTGTGCTGGTGAGTGGCCTTTGCTCCTCCACAAAGAATAACAGGTGTAAGTAAGTCAATAATTGACATGTCAATTCAGAGATTGATTATGTAAATCACTGTAAATTTATACATTCTATATTTAAAGTCGACTATTTATTTCGTCGATCATTTTATTGTTTTTTTTGTTTTTCACTGACTATTATTTCTGTTTCTAAACTATGAAATTTGGTCAAGCAACAATGGATAGACAATATTTTACAAGGTATGTTTTTGTATTCTCTTAAGATTTGTTTTCTTTTATTTAACTTTAGAATATCTAGTGAATATATATATAAAGATAGAGAGCGATGGTGTAGAAGATTCGTAGCTCAGGTGGATGATTTAAGTGGAGTTTTGTTCTGAATTTAGAGAACAAAACTCCACTGAAATCATCCATTTGAGCTGAAACTCTTCTCCACCACCTCCCTCTCTCTATATATATATATACATATATGAGTAAATAGATAGATAGGTCGGTAGGCAGGTAGGTAGGTAGATATGTAGATAGATAGATAGGTAGACAGATAAACAAATTAATACCTAGGAATCATGTATGAATATATCTTATAGACTTATTCTAAATCTACCCAGATCCATAAAGACACTCACGTTATTATTATCTAATCTGTATATCAACAACTAAATTTTTTGTCAAGCGAATAAATGGTATTTATTTTTTTATAATATAAATAAACAAATATTTATTTCAATAATTGAAATCATGAGTTAATTGAAGCTAGACCACCGTGGAAAGCCTGAAAGCCCTTGACGTTCGTTTCATCCTAGTATGGGACTCGTCAGTAGTGTGCATTTACGATCCCGCACCCCCCTCGCGAGATTCGAACCCAGGACCTATTGGTCATGATTCCAAATATTGAAATTTCTAGAAATCTCCAAAAATACCCATTCTGAAAATATTTATTTTTCATTCATTATTGTAGGGAATTGTTTATTGATTTTTAATCGGATTATTTACGTGTTCATAAACACTTGTTCTGTTTATATTAAATTTGTCTTTTTTTGATAAGAGAAATGATGATCCATTTTCATACAATCTATTTATAAATAAATCCACTTGGTCTTGTTGGCTTGAATCTTCTCATTATTGTCTAGGATTGCGATTGATCAAGTCTCTCTTATTGGCATATATGCATACTGTGCATATTGTCTCGATATTGCCTTAAGATGGATGGTGGCTAGCAGTGGAATCCAGGAAGCGCGCCACTTTGTCCTAATTGGGACTCGTCAACTGAATGTACCTGCATCTGAGTTGATGTTCACTCTGAGACTTGAATCCAGTACCGTTCACTTTAAACGCCATCGCGTTATCCATTTAGCTACTGAACCCTGATAGTTACATGATTGTATAATGGGATGAAGTTTAAATTCACTTGGTTTTGTTTGCTTCGTTTCTCTGATTATCTGTCCAAATCAATGAGTGTACAAAATTTGCATATTCAAATATCCATTCTCATATTTGACTTCTTTAATTCCATTATTCACTAGCATATATTAATTGGATAATTTTTATACGACAATAGATGACATGTATATTTCAAATAACAATCAATTATGTAATCCAAA